TCTCTTCACTACCATCACCCCTCTGCAACTCCCTAAAGCTCCCCTTGCTCCCCCACTGCCCCTGCGCCCACTGCTCCCCCAATTCCTCCTGCCCCCCTGCCCGCGCACTCCCCCCCCGCGCCCTTCGTTGTAGTCACACTCCGGCACAGGGGCCACCTGAGCCATGCTCTCTTGGCTCTTCCTGCGGTGCGCCCGCCGCATATAAGCACGTGTGGCACCTGGATGTTGGTGTGAGGGGAAGGGAGAACCACACCTGCTGCAGTTGCTGCTGTCCCTGGTGTTGGTGGTGCTGCTGCTGGTGGTGCTGCTGCTGCTGCTGCTGCTCCAGCTGCTCCCTCTCCTGCTGCTACTTCTGCCCCCTCTCCTGCTCTTGCTTCTATGACTGTTCCTCCCATTGCTCCGGCGCCTGCACCTGCGCCTGCGCCTGTGCCTGCGCCTGCACCTGCTCCTGCATGCGCTGCCATAGCTGCTGCTGCGGGTGTATCAATCGGTGCACCCTCTTCCAATCCAGCCGAGTGCCTCCCACTCTGTGTGCTAACGGGGACGTCTATAGGAAAGACAAAGTCCCTCGTTCTGCCCCTCTCATGCCTTCCTCTCAGCCTCGTTCCCCCTTCCTTTCCTCCAGCAAACCCAGCAGCCCCAGCAGCCGCAGCAGCAGCAGCAGCAGGAGCAGCAGGAGGAGCAGCAGGAGGAGCAGCTGGGATAGTTGCAGCAGCAGCAGTCGGCGTTTTGCCGGATTCCCCCAAACCCCTTCTTACGGCTTTCAAAGGAGGAACTACCAGAACAGGAGGAGCTATCCCTTCTTCCTCTTCCTCCTCCTCATTCACCTCCTCCTCTTCCTCATCCCCTCCCTTACCCTCCTCCTCTTCCTCCTCTTCCTCTTCCTCCTCATCCCTCCAACCTCCACCCTCCAGGCGCCCACCAGGCGTCTTGGCACCACGTGACTGGAAAGAATGTGCCTGTAGTGATCGTGATTGTAACGAACGTGACTGGAATACCTGGGAACTGGGTGACTGTATCGGCTTAGCATGAGACGAGCCGCGACTGGTTTCCGCACGGGCCTTGCGCGAATCCCCCCATGTAGTCACATGGCCATGGAAGGTTGGAGTGGGCGGCAGCATAAGACGACGCAGGCCAGCCGCAACGCCATGGCCATCCTTCCTCTTGCTGCCGTCCTTTTTCTCATCCTTCAAGCTGCTTGCGTTACTGCCTGTGCCACCACTTGTGTGTATGTTACCACTCGTGTTACTACTTGCATTATACGGTGACTCATTAGCTGTGCTGCTGCTGCTGCTGCTGCTGCGGCTGGTGTAGCTAATGCTCTTGCCAAACCCACTACTGTCCATGACAGAACCGCTACCAGTGGCTGTAGCATTGACCTTTCTGCTGCTGCTGCTGTAGCTGCGGCTGCTATAGCTGCTGTGGCTGCGGCTGCTATAGCTGCTGTGGCTGTAGCTGCTGCTTCTATCCATTCCACTACAGTCAACGCTGGTGGTAATGCTGTCAGCTGAAGCCTTGGGTGTACCGGTGCTGTTTCTGCTGCCATTCTGGTTCCTTCTGGTTCCTGTTGCTGCTAATGCCTGTGGTAGTTGTGCCTGGGCTGATGCTACAGCTGCCACGGCTGCTGCAGCTGCTGCTCTTGCCCATACTTCTGATGTCAACGCTAGTGCCACTGCTGCTGGTGCTGTAGACAATACTGCTTCCAGAAGCTGCACGTTGCATGTGGCCATCCATCCTCGCTATAGTCCCATTCCTGTCTTCCACCAATACTTGGCCATCTTTCGCATCGTCGCTATAAAACAAAAATCACCCTCGCCATTACTAAAGAATCGGCTGCTTTCGTACTTATATTTTTCGAATACAGGCGCCCATAGTCTCTCCAGTGCCCCTGGTGTTGGCAAAGCTCCACTCTTGGCGCTGGTGCTTCCATCTTCACTACCATCATCTGTTATTCTGGAATTTTCGTCTCTGTACAGTTCAGTGCACTGTACACCGCTCGTGAAACTGACTCTATCGAGATTCTTCCCAGGCGCGTCCGGAGAACCCGAGGCTCCAAGGTTCGGAAAATCAACGTGCACTAACGGAGCAGGGGCTGGAAGCTCGTCGTGCATGATTTGCCACGATTGGTGGGCGATGGTCAGCTCCTCAATCGCGCGTTCGCGACCCCATGCCCGTTCGTCAAACGCCAACCATCGCCGCTGGTAACCAGCCTCCTCCCCGCTCGAAGTTACATATTTGTTACTTCCACCATTTTTTGAAGCAGGTACACCGCAACACGTTTTCACCCACAGTTTGATTCGCTCCAACTCTCCAGGCATCTCCCACGCGAGGTCTGCCACGTCATTCACTATGTGCGACCGCGGGTCGGTTAGCGATATCGCCAGAATCGTCCACGACACCACGCGACGTCGCCCAGGTAATTCCAAGTTGGAACAGTGCGACGGTGGCACAAGCTCGTGCGGCGTCGTCGACTTCGCGAACGCGTCGCAGGACTCGGCTACTACGGCAATTGCGCTGAGCGGCTTTACCGCGTAGAGCTGCCCTGTCTCCCCCTGCTGCGCACCGATTTCAATAACCTCCACGGGAGTCCCGCTCAGCGGAATTTTCGCTCCCCAATACTCCCTCCCGCTTCCGCTTCCGCCACCACTGTTGTAGCCTGGCGACTCGGGATCCTGCCATGTCTGCGGCGCAATCCCCAGGTTCCACGGCGCTTCCGCCGCAAATCGTGCTGGCGCGAGCTTGCTACCGTCGCTTCCGCCGCAGCCGCCGCCACCGGTCGCGCAAGCCACGGGGCGAAGCGGGTCGAAATCCTCATCCGCGGAAATCTCGATGCGCGCGGCGGAGCCGCGCGGCGTGAGGCAGAGAACATGATAAAACCCGTGCTTTGAGTGTAAGGGGAAATCGTGCCACGGGGAAAACGGCCGCGAGGAAGGCGGGAAAATTGGCGGTTCCGAACTCGACGACGGACCATCCGTCGGCATCGCGAAATTGGTCGGGTGCGGAAGAGCTCAGCGGAATCAGGTCGACAAGCCTGTCGACCTGTGTCGACCTGTCGACCTGCTGCCCCGGGCAGCAAAACAACTAAACCCCCATCGGATGGCATGCCATCCGAGGGAGCCTCAACCCTAAACACCATGCCTCCCCGCGTTTAGGGTTGAGGCTCCCTGACCGGATGCATGCCCGTCTGGGGTTTATTTTTTTTGCCCGCGGGCAGCGAGCTCCCCCGGGCGGACTCGCTTGTCCGCTGAGCTATTTTCGGCGGATTTAGGGCATCCGTGGGTTTTTCTTCTTCGGAAATGTATACGAAAAGTGTCAACGAGCTCCGTTGAAGTCACGGGTCACTCCGTTGAAGTCACGGGACACGGTTCGGTATACTAAAAAGTCACTGTAGAGTCACATCTAGCGATACATCGACAAATCTGCGACGCAAAATGTGCGATTCGGCCAAACTTCGCGTCTCGTGGGTTGAAATCTCTGCATTACCACTCAGATTGGCATAAAATTGTCGCGTTATAGGACCCGTGTGCTGATTGCAACCATGTTAACTTGTTATTTAGTTGCCAATTTCAAAATGTCTCCTAAGACATACTCTGTCTTGAAATGTGACACAATAAGCGCCATCCATACGTGGTCACTCGCAGAGGAGAAACTTGTTCAGAAGCAGCACACGGGCATTCACAAACGACTTGCAGATGTGCACCACCCTCTTGATGCACTCAATCGCCACCACCGCGTACTTCGTTTTCACTCGCCCGGGCGTTAACTGAACGCATGTGGTCAGCCCACACACCCCTGCCGCCTCATAGTACTTCACGTACGCAAATCTGGCAATCGTCCCGTCTGTCTGCTTTGCCCGGAAAATGCACAAGCACCGGGCATACCACTCCTCCTCCTCCTTTGGTGACTTCACCGCCACATCCGAGAACCAGTTTTCTGTGGGACTTGCCTTCACAAAGGTCCCTTTCGCCACCAATTCGCCTCCACGCGTTCGTGGGATCGCCACGGCCGTGTGTACCTGTCGTGCCAAGTCAACCAGCATGAGTACGATGGGCACAACAGCATCATCCCCCACCCATCGCAAGAGCACACATCACACAAGACACCACTCACCCAGAATCGGTCCAGAGAAAGGTCAGCACGCGCGGTGCACGACGTCAAGGCGTTCATGTCGCTTCCAAGTGTTGAGCGGTATGGAGCGAGGGTGCCATCCTCAGGGTCAGAAGGGTTTGCCACCCGAGACCGGCGCGTCAGCACGTACTCCTGCAGCCGCACAGCCTGTATACCACACAAGTCACTCGTGAGTATCGCGTATTCCGGTGTGTCTCTTCAAGTCTCCTAGCTCGGACAGTCACGTATCTTTTCTAAGTACATAAATGGATCAGAATAAGCACTACACACAACATTACCTCACGTAGTGCGGTTGTGTACTGTCTTCCACCGCATGCATCCACCGCCACTTCTCGCGCCAACTCCCTCTGCACCTCCTCCTCCACTATCCGTCGAGGAACGTCTTTCCAATTCCCCCCCCTCACCGGGATTTTGACAGTCACCTTGTGACTGTGTTCCCACGCGTTGGTTGAGTACTCGTGCGGCATACCCCGCATGGGGATGCCGTCAATGAGGTGGACCACTGCATGGACTTTCGGCAATTTCCATCCTGATGACTGTGCAGGGAAAGCAACGATCAGCGCGTCCACCATCCTGCATGTGGACATGTCCGAATAGCACACTATCATAACCCATTCCACCCTAAACACTAGATCGGCCACCAGCCATCAATTCGAGTACCACCAAGCACTCACAAAATTGCATGTTGTCTGACCACCGCCAATGAAGCACGCGTGTGCTTCACCACGCCCACAAGCGCCTTGTAAAAGGTGGCGTACATCCGGAACGCTCGCACCTCGCGCTCTCTCTGCTCGCGCTCCTTCGGTTTCATTCCGTCCATCTTGTCCGCAATGATAAGCGGCATCACTTGCATCATCGCCCTGTGCTCGAATGCCGCATAGTTGGCGGCGCTCCGAAAATACGACGATCCACCTGGAATCCTCAGCACAGTTGACCGCGTGTCCTTCTTGTATGACTTCTTCCTCATGTGGTCGTTATATGTACCCATACACACGTGTCATTTATTGCATGCATGCATTCCGAACGATGGTTATTACCATCTGTATAACAAAGGTATGCGCCAAAAGCATGGTCGCCCATTGTGTGCAATGAAATACGGTCCCAAAACTCACCCCTCCCACTCCCGTTTCTCTGGCTTGCTCTTCCCCTCCACCAAGCACGATGTCGAGTGGCCGAACATCCCAGAATCCTACGCGTGCAAGATGTCCGCGACGCACGCAAGGAACACATTCCCCCACTCCGTCTCTGCGAAACTCCAGCGTTCCAAAACACACTGCACACAGCGTGTCATCCAGATGTTAGTGTTATTTTAAAAGAACACGTGGTGGCCACACTAGATATGGGACTCAGCTTACACCCGCCAAGCACGGCCGGATGCATACCACAAGCGGGTGTGTCGACCACTTCTTCTGGATACGCTGAGCCAGAGTATCCGTCGCCGCCGTTTGGATGGCGTGAACAATGCGCCGTTGCTTCTCCACGGTGCGCGCGGGAGCTCGCAGGTCGACACGGGCAAGGTTGTCCTCCCTCACGTAACAGCTGCTACATGGGCGGTGAGACGTCGCCTGCATCGTCCCGGTTGCGCGGGACAGCTCCGGATAATCTCCGACTTCTGCAAACAGACACGGGTACCCCTTCACAGCCTTCCCGTTAACGTCTGTCACAAATATGAATCGGAGCTCCGCGCTGCAACACAGTGATACAAACAACCACGCAATGGTTTAGGTGTACACGCATGCGAACAGGGGGCTCTTATTCATGATGCATAGGGTTGCAGGGAATGCAGGACATCTTACTCTTTGTGGTCCCTCAAAAGTGGCGCAAGAATGATCTTCAGCGCCTCTTGATAAACGCGCGTCTTCTCCGTTGACGATGCCCATTCCGGCGGAAACGGAAGGACAGCCGCCAGTACAAATCCGGGTTCCGTCCACCTGAACCCCTCCGGTATGTTAACCAGCGTTATGAGAACAGGCCACGCTTGTCTCCTGCCGTTTCCAGATGCATAGGTACTGTCACTGTAAACAATGACCCCCAGCACCCATGATCCCTTCTCGGGTAACGCCGCCTGCCAGTACGAGAGCCGTCGCCAGTGTTAAAGACTGGTGACAGTCAAATCCGAACTACTGCTAGACTTTCGGTCTACCAATTTCTCCACCCACCTGACACTCGTGAAACCACTTCCCCGTGTCGGGCGTGCTGTAATGCCGAGTGTCCTCGTCGTCCTCGACATCCGTCCGAGGCTGCGTGACAAAACCGCGCACGTGCACAAATGTCCTCACCAACTTCTTCACCAGCTGCAATTTGTTTTTATCAAAGAGACACGCAACGACCAGGAGTTAGACCGCACGCCGAGTCAAGTTCGGCTACGATTTAAATCTGCCCAACGTTATGTAGCGGGCATGATGACCGGATTGCGCCCTGGCACGCCACATTGCTAGACTCACCAACTCCGTGTTCCTGACGTGAAGTGTCAACCTGGCCACCTTGCCGTGGGGCCCGAACACCTTGATCTCTTCCATGGTCCAAGGAACAATGTCCGGCGGCTCTCGCTCCTTTCCATAACGCCGCACATCCGCCGCATTGCGCCATGAGCGAGCAGCTTGTAGATCAAACAGGGGGCTTCTGAAAATGTGAAGTAACCTGTTTACTTCCCTAATCGAAAGGTCCGCATCGCGGAAAAACAGATACAGCTCCTGTAACGTGTCGAAACAGTCATCGATGCTTGTCACATCAGAGTGCGCATCATCGCAATCCGCCTCCGAAGTTGGTGCTGGCGGACTGACCTCTACATGCGGTCGCTTAAGGTTGCTCGACCGCGGCGGTGCCTTGGAGCTCTCGGGAGAACACACCGGCGGTTTCGACGCTGCTAACGCAATCAGCGCCTCCCGATAAGCAGCGACTAACTTTGATGCGTAAATATGTTTAAGCTTCTGCCGACAGACGTTGTTTTTTGTTACATGAGACTGCAACGCGTTGTCATCCGCAAACTCGAGTTCGCACGCATCGCACTTGTTGCCTAACATCAGGCCTACCGGTGAAACCCTAATGCCACTAGCTCCTCTACGTACACGGTGTGCGTTTAATGACTAAAGGAACTCTGTGCCCCTCCGATGGCGGGGTTCATCCCAACAAACAAGACTCGGGAAAGAGGTGGAATCTGAGCCACATGAACTCTTGTACACGAACAGTCCGCTGATTGTGAACTCGTATGCCCGTTGTGTGCCACGTCACCACATCTGGCTGGCGTATGAGCAGTTCTGTGGGGTGTTCAGTCTATCGGCTCGGAAGCCGATAATCTGTTGCATATAGCCCAAAAACCGACCTGAGCCGCTCCGAGAGTTCATTTGTGGCTAGTGTGCACCGCCACTCCCAGTTTGGATCTTGATAACCCCGAGGTGCAATGCGGTGCTCATTAGACTCCTGCAGGTGACGTTTGCGGCACAACTAACCGGGGGCAGTGTCCATTGACAAGAGTACAACTAACCGGCACGTTTGTACGTGGTTACGTTACACGGCCCTTGGTGCATATTTGATTAGTGACGAATATAACGAATGCAACATGGAGACACCTTACATTGCAGAACATGACACTCTTATCAGCTTTCTCGTTTATGACACATCAGGAACAGCTTAGTAGACATATCCCATCACACTCCGCCGCACACCAATTGCATGTAGTGGCCAAAGCAAACTCATGCGCCAACTACGACTTCACTCTCCGACATTACGCCTCTTCTTCGTGGGCGTCCTGAGCAGACGGGACACCAGTTCTGCGTTCGTAATGCCAGCATCTACAACAACGTCGGCGGGGTCCTTGCCTGAGTCAAGGGCTCGTTTCGCCAACGCCCCGGACAACGTGAGCATGACGCGACGAATGCTCCTGGCGTCATCCAAGTAGCCAGGTGCCGACTCAGGCTCAGCACCGGTATCACAACCGATATGAACATCTCCGTCAGTCACGACGTTAGTGCACACAGGATGATCTGCTTCGACACACACGTACTTGACAGCGGACAAGCGGTCCCAGTGGGGGATGTACCGATCAATCTGTCTCTGTAAACGCATTAGCTCATCTGTTAACTGGTCCAGCACTATGGTGCTAACCCTGGGCAGTGACGCAAGAAACAAGTGCTGCCAGTTCGGGGGGACGCAATCCGCCGCTGCCCATGAACGCATGATTGTCGCCCTCGAAACGCCCTTCCAGGACAGCGCCATCCACACCACGACTCGTTCCAGCCCGGGGCGTGACACCGCCCACGCTCCGTCATCCGGTCGCATGTCCGCCAAAATCTGACGCAGCCACATGTTACGGAAAAGCGCCTTAAAAGTCTCGACAATTCCGAGAAGCATCGGTATCCCGTAGATGGGTACTACCTCCTCCATTTGCACCACGCGGGTGTGGGTCAATGTGGTGACATCGAAGCCGCACATCTTGGACCGAGCTCCGGAGTCTGTCGCCATGGTGTGGCGTGGGTTGCAGACTAGGATAGTCGTCTTACGGTCGGTAGTCAAGTTAGCGGCGTTCAGGTCCTCGATGATGCACGTGGAAACCTGCACACGCGGGCGTGAACGCGGTCCGAAGTCATTCATCGAGTAGATACAGCCATAATAATTCGAACGGACACAAGTTATGGGCCAGGCGATGAGTCTTACCTCAGACGTTAAACGCTGGTTCGACATTGATGCCATGCATGCAACATGGTACATAGATGCCGGGTCTGAAGCCTACCGCGCACATAGGCCGCTGCTATTTAGGGTTTGGACGCTCAGACACATATTCGCTAGCACACACGTCTCTAGATCTCAATCCAGCCAGAATACCTAGCAATCCTGCGGTAGCACACAGATTCGTGGATCTCGGGTCAGCCAGAATACCTAGCAGCGCCGGCTTGCTAGTACAGCGCGTACTCGCTGATAGTACATCGTGTTCCAACCGTTCCAGCCCTACCGGTAGGGCCTACATTACTCGCTGATAGTACAGCGCGTTCCAACCGCCGATGCCACGGACACGAGGCGACGCCGCGCGCCTAGGAAGGTCGGTGGCGATTTCTGCGCCTGGTGCACGCATCGAGTCTAAGTCAATGGTGGGCTCACAGCGTCCTGACGGGGTCGTGATGCCGCACGCACATGACATTCGTGGTGCACAAGCGCGCACGGCATGGCAGAGCAAAGGCAAAACAAACCATGACGTGGCGTGGGGGTCTACGGTGGTCACGCTCGACTGTGAACCCCCGCCAGACGACGCCATTCAGGCGATGATACAGAAGGGAAATACCGAGGAGTGGGGATCTGTGACTTTGCACGGCCACGACGGCTTAGAATGTCAAGTGAAGGGCGAAGACGTGATAAGCATCGCCGACGGAAATTGCTTGCACGACGCGATGCTCGATTTTCACAACCTGTGAGTAATCGATCATGGTCTTGTCGTTATTCCTTGTGTGTAGACGTTCTTCAGATTCGTGGATCTCACGGGCTATGCTCACATCTTATTGCTACAGGTTGTTGAAGATGCGGCATCCCACCTTGCCCAACGGAGGGACATGGGCAGTGCTAGACAGCAAAAGCTTCGCGTATTTCCAGCAGTTCCATGAGACCATAACGCATGGTCGACCTGGGAGCGTCTTCGCGGCTGACTATATGGCAATTCCTATTTTCCAGAGGTGCGCTATAAACAGAGGCCGTGCATGTTGTTCGAGATCGGCGGCTGTGCGACGTGACCAGACTCAAATTTCGCTCCTGTGTGCCATATGTTTGCAGGAGCCACTATTCTCTCATGGTTGTGGCATCGCCATCTCAGATAGTGGCACCGAGCAAGGGAGGAAAGGCTGCAGCTGTCGAGCTTATCCTATACGACAGCGCGGGTGTCCACAGCATGGATGCAAGAATATTAAACGGTGTCAAAAGGTGAAGTTACTGAAATCAAGATTTGACACTCGCAGACGCGATACTAAACATGTGTGTGCATCTGCCTAAAGCGTGGTCTTTTGAGTGGTATTGTGTTGCAGCCTGTTACACGCAATGGTGAAGAGAGAGCTACCGCATATCAATGAGGAAACGGTCAAGGGAGTGCTCATGGTGGCGAAATGCATCACGCTTGGGGTGAGTGACTCTCACTTTAACGCCTCCCGTATCCTATGAGAAGGTCTTTCAGTTGCTTCTTTACTAGCTGGCTCGGTGCGTGTCTGCGACCTCCCCCAAGTACCCCCCCCCCCCCCCCCCTCCCCCTCCCTGTACCCCCTCCCCCTCCCCCTCCCCCTCCCCCTCCCCCTCCCCCTCCCCCTCCCCCTCCCCCTCCCCCACCCATCCCCGCCAACAGGGAAGCCGCATTCCAATGCAAACGAACGGAGTCGATTGCGGTGTGTTCGTTTGCCAGAACCTGGCCGAGCTGGTGGCGACCAGCTTCCAGACTGTCCGTGACGGACTCAGCTTCGACCGGCCCACCCCACTTGTGTACCGACGGGGTATGAGGGCGGAGCTATGCGATCATCGGGCTGGCACTCTCGCCGCAAAGCTGGAAGCCGAGGGGATAGTTATGCCCACGCAGCCCCCGCCCGTCCAGGCTCTGGACCCAGCAATCGTTGTGCAGGACGATGATGAGGTCGTCGAGCTGAAGTCCGAGGGGGAGATGCAACCAACCGACATGCAACTCGTTGTGCTTGCTGCGAAACTCGGCGCAATCTCTCTGGCACTTGGGTATGACGAGGACCAGCTCCTAGCTGGTGCTGCGCACTTTTTGACAACGCACGCCTGTAGTGGATCCAATCGTCAAGGGGATGGGGGCCGGCAAGGATACTGAGGCCGTCGCGAAGAGCATGGCGGTTGCGCTGCACACGACACCTATGCCTCTCCCACGCCATCCAGCGGGCCAAGTGGGCGTTCGATTGAGCAAACTGACGACCAAGGCTACCTCACCAAGACCCGGCAGCAAGCCTCCGAGTCCACATACGCCGCATCCTGTCATAGCAATCCCAGCATCCGGCGGCAACGTTGGGAAACCTCCACGAGCTCGAGAGGGGACATGCGAGGGACGGACAGGGCACACGGGTGTGCGGTACGATCCAGAGACCGGCAAGTACTATGCGAAACTGGTGTGGGGACGTGGGTCCAGACAGCAGATTCGGCTTGGTTCATACACCGATGAGCTGGATGCAGCGTATGCCTACGCTGCCGCGGCACGTGTGCTGCGCCCGAAGGTTATCAGTAAGGGTGCGGTGAGATTGTCCGACTCGGACATCGCGGCGCTATCGGGTTGCACGGGTGAGCATATTCGCGCGCTGGTACGTAAGCGGAAGTGGTGGAGGTGGCGTGAGTGGACAGTGGCTCTGCGCGAGAGGGGACAGGTGTTTCGTGGACAGGGAGAGGGTCATGATGCGGCACTTCGTGCGGTATCCAGCAGTGCGTCTGAAGATAGTGTTGCACAGGATGGTGATGAATACCCTTTGACGCAAGAGTGCGAGGGGGATGTGCACATGGAGGCCGAAGGGGAGGCATACGGAGGTTGTGATGGCGGCTCCGACACCAACACAGAGCTAGTGGCTAAGTAAATCATGGGGCTGGGTGTGCTTGTGCAGGGCCGTATGATGGTGGCGTTTTTACAACGACTTGTTGATATGCCTTCCATGGCGCGAGAGAATCGGGGACACGCATGCTTTGACTTTCGGCAATGTGGTCTTGCTTGCTCAAGATGCGGTTATTTCTACCGTGTGATGTGCGTGTTAAACTGCTAAAATGATGTATCGTATTCACAAGATCGTATACACCAGGACACACGACGCGGCACCCTTGCTGCGCACAGGGTGTCGTTTTAACGCATACCGTCCACGAAACCCGCACAGCGGATTGTCATGCGTATACGATAAGGAGGACACGTGGGCTAAAACCTGTCATGATATTATAGGCTGCATGGATTACATACACATTCCGACCACAAATGGGTCCGTGTGTCGTATGGGGCAGATATTCGTTTCGCGTGATGTGTGAGGTAAAGAGACGCAGAATAGCTCATTGTGACCTAACAAGACTGCAGTCCCTGTGAACAACAGACACTGTGAGATGGCGAGTGCCATAGCCATGTCGCAGAGAGACGGGCGAGGACACCGGGTGTCAAAGCCGCCTGCATACCTGCGGCAGGCGTACCACCTCACATTGTCTACGCGACGTGGGCCGACTAAGAGTTCTAAGACGGCGCCGACCGTTGTCCGCGCGGGAAAAGGCGGTTCATCAACGCACTCTACGCGGGGTATGGTTAAGAGTCAGATGGGCGGTGTTATGCTTTAATGTGAACGTTGCTGTCTGAAGTTGTTTCGAGTTCCACATGATGCCCCTAAGTTCGTCAAAGCGTTTTATCACATGCCCATGTGTGTGCACCTGCAGCATCTTCTGGGCGGCGCGTCGCGGGTGAGACAGCGCCATCTGCTAGCGGGAGTGGGGATGCAGCCGCAGAGTCCCAGTCTTCCCAGTAGCCATCGCAACCCGTTGAGGCGCCGAGGTCGAGGCGCGTCGAGGATGTTGTGAACGATACGCAAGCTCCCACTGGAGGTGCGAACGCGGGCAGTTCGCGCCCGGCGGTATCGAACGACGATCCCGCGGGAATGCTTCCGGAGATGCCGCGTAACTACAACGCTGATGTGGGAACACGCCTTTACCGTGACGACGACAACACACCCGTATCCCGCGAGGAGTTTAATCGCATTGTTCGTGCGCACGAGGAAACACTTGCAGCGTTGGCTCAACTTGAGACCGTCCTGCTTGCAAAGATTGAGCACGAGAAATCCCAGGAGAAGGCTCGTAAGCGGAAGCGGGGACGAGTAAATGAGGCGCGCGATGCACGCGTGGCAGAGGCGAGTGATCTCGCGCTATCCGACGACGAGGACAACGATCGGGCACCTAATGCGCGCCACAAGAAGACTGCCAAATCGGCGATTCTGCAGAAGGCGCTGGAAGTGCTCCCGGCCGACAAACCCTGGAAGGTCTGGTGACGCTTCCTTGCTGTTGTGTATGCACATCTAGGTGCATTGCGAGTCGACCAAATGTGCTCAGGGTGTGCGAAATCGACATGATGCCATGTACAGTCCTTTGCCGCCGTCCAATGCACTCTTGTTTCCACTCCATCCTGCGCATTCATGGCCCACGATGTTACAGAACATTTGCGAGCAGGTGCGCGTTCACATGTTCTTCGAGCGGAGGAACGAGAGGATGACGTTCTACCCCAGCAGTGAGGAGAAGACCGCGGGGGTGTGCGCAGTGGTAGACAATCTCCCGAAATCGTACGCCGCACTGGCTCTTGCAGCATGCAAAGCCCGTCGGGCCGATCTTAATCGGTCTCTGAGCGATTGGAAGACGGCGGCCGCTGGCCGGGTGCGTGACATCGCGCCGCCGCGAATTGGGCTTTTTCGGGATGAACGGGACGCGCAAAGCCCGTGGGCAACTGCAAAGGCTCGACCCCTTGCGAAGGTTCGAACTCGTACTGGGCTTGACGCCAGTTTCGGCGGTAAGGCGTTGTCTATGACCCATTTAATATACCGCATCGCTGTATACCATCTGCGTTGGTTCTCTAACACTGGGACGCTTATCTTTGCGTACAGATAAGGTCGTGCTGTCAAGGTGGTCGCACGACCGTAGGGGCATGCCGTTTGCCTCGGGAGCATTCACTGCGTGTGCACGCACGGTTTTCAAGCCCAAGATGTTGAACGGCACCATCACCCTGAAGCTCTACCATCTCGCGTGGATCGAGCATGTGGTGCGAAATGGCCTCGGGGATAGGTGGTTCCACGTGTCGGCTGCGCTTGCACCGGCCTTATTGCCACGTGGCACTTAACATAAATCGTGTGTTCACTTTGGAGCCTGTGTTGTATTATTTGCACAGGTGACTGACGCGATTATCAACTGGGAGCAGCGCAAGGGCTGCCTGTCCAATTCGGCCTCACGCAACGCCCACATGGTGAAAGGGCTGCAGACCTTGGTGTTTGATGCTATTGTGGCGGCCATTGACAAGTACAACCCGCCATACGACCCGGATACTAAGACGTTCGAATGGGGCCGTCATGGGCTCCGCCTGTCAACGTGCGGCCTGGAAGAGACACTTCCAGAGGCGTCAGGCGACGAGGAAAGCGAGAGATCCGTAGACGAGGTCTCAGTATCGCACGGGAATTCAAAAATGGACGAGCAGTAGGCAGCGTAGTTGGGCAGCATGATGTGAAGTGTGACAGTATAACCTTGTTGTTGCGGGGCTGGATATGAGAGAAATTAAGCTATACATTGATCAACTCAACGATGTACAATCGCGCGTTATATACTATCGGCACAGGAAGAGCGGTTACAATTATAACGGTGCGCCCCATCAAGACGTATTGCGCATGTTGCGGCGGCAAACACGGACGGCCTATCAAGCCCGAGTCGCGGACTTAGTAGGGTGATAGAACAACCGTAGATGGTTGGGGTCAGCATCATAGGATGGAAAGCGATACAAAGGCCGCCACGTGGCGCTGCTTCGTTTGATCAAGAGGATCGTATTGAGCACAGTGGTAGTGGTTGCGCCTGCGTGTCTGTGTGTGCAGGTGCCACGTGACACGACACCAGCTGCTTGATCGGAGATGCGGAACGGACTTACGGCCTTCATCGAACGGTCTGTGCGTGACGATCTGCATGCCGGAGTCACTTGTCGCGCAGCACATGTCTTTCCGTGATTGGTTGCAGCTAGACGCCAACTGTCGTACGACGTGAGTCGTACGTTCTCGTTCGTGTCGTCTAACGAGTGTCCTGCCACGTGGCGGGCAGTACTAATGGTATGCGTTTAGGCGACAGACCGCTAGCGATTTTACGTAGCTCGCGTCGGCACTTTTTTGTGAAGTAGCACGAGGGACGTAATAGGGAGATGCAAGTAACTGAGGGTGTGACGTCTTATGTGACACAAATGTTACGGAACGTACGTTTTTCCGAAACTTTCATGTGACTTTTTTGTTACATCGGAGGTCACATCGGCGCTGGTACTTTCAACCATGACTATAAAACGCCGGACTTGCAGTCACGCAAAAGTCACAATTGAAACACATTTTTGTGACTTTCGGCACTTGCCATTTTCGCGATGGGCGAGAAAATGGCGATTCATTGAACCGGATGCGGATCGTTTCCTAGAATTGAAGACAACGATGCATGGTTGCAGTTCCAGCTGCTCTCGTCTAACTCGAGAGGTGGTCGTGGTTCATCCCGCTAGAGCTATTCGATGCTTTTTCAAAGGCCCTGTTCGGCAGCACGAAAAAGCCATCAGAACCAACCGGATACCAACCACAAATCGAACAAACCTGGGTTGATTGATGGCTCGGCACTCTTGCTGACTCATGCTGACCTGTAAAAATTCCCTACGATTGGTCGCACTTCCGAACCTACTTCACAACCAGTTTCATTTTCGTGTTAGTTTTGTTGTTGGATCCAGTACCACGCAACAGTGCCAACCAACATGAAATGCACAGTAATTTACGGGCAAATTCATGTGCAATGCTGGTTGGGTCTCGGTCCAGTGCTGATCCTGCTTTCTACGTGGGTGGGCACGATTGTTAGTTCATTGTGAGAGTCATGCAACGAGCCTATTGGCCAGAGCACAAAATGTGCTCCTTCCTGGAATTTTTTCACCAGGTTCCTCGAAGCAAGGAACCTGTGATTGTGGTTGTTGGGTTTCGAGATTGGCTGTGTGGGGTATTGTCTGTTGTGTGCATCATGTGAGATGTACCCCACGTTTGCATGTCTGGTTGCACAGCTGAAAGAGTGGAACAGTACTCCACGTTGATTTTGTTTTGTAGTAAGCCTAGCTTCGGGCCGAGGCTGTTTTGTCGTTCAGATTAGTTCGATTGCTGGTGAGAAGTGCATGGCAGCAGAAGTGCTGCCGAACAGGGCCAGTATCATATCGCAACGGGTGTCACTACAGTCCGCCTTGAAACCTTTGTGTGGTGTTGAGGACAGTCTGCCCCAGTGTGGTGTATTAGGTGCGGGTTGTGTGGGGTTTGCGAAGGTTGGAGTGGGAACGGGGGAGCACGGACACAAGCACAGTGCGACTCGGTTGCTCAGAAACACATTTGTCGTGTTCAACCCGCCAGTCTCCAATGCTGCGTCGGTCAATGACAGACGAGGGGCAGTGGAGACGACTTTTTGTGAGCCAAGCAAGAGGAGGTGGTTTTCTCCAATTGGTCCTGATTGATGAGCCACGACTGAACAGTGGAACTCAACCTCGTTATAAGGCAGTCTCACCTGCTCAATTCGCCTTCCGTACTGCCAACGTAGAAGTGAAGACGAATCAGTGACAGTGCTAAATATGGGTGCTAACAACAGACTCACAGGGTAGTCCATTTGGAAGCTGGAGATCAAGCATGCACCTTCCTAATCAATCTACATAACCAACAAATAAAACGAAGAAAAGCAATAACCTCAAGTTTAATCCCCTCCCCCCTCCCCCCGAAACCCCACCTTCCACAAAGCGGCAATCCACCCTTATGAGCTTGGTGGTTGAGACGCAAAATCAAACGACCCAGATCCAACAGCAAATGAATGCCTACGAGCATGCCCAGTCCTAGGCCGAACCATCCCACCCTGCTGTTGCTGCTTTTGCTGCAGTAGCCCACCCATCGCACCAGCACTACCTTCCCCTACTCCACCACCACTGGCACCACCAGCAGTAGCACCTCCCAATGAGCCTGCTCCAGATCCACCTGCCATAACTGTCCCCAGCTGAGGCCTCCACTTGGATGGTGACACCTGGGATGGGCTGCTTCTGCCGCCCACCTGATGCTGCTGCTGCTGCTGCTGCTGCTGCTGCTGCTGTGCAGGCAGCTGGTGTTGCTGCCCATGCTGTGGTGGCCCATGGTGCTGCCCCTGGAATGCAGCGAATGGAGCACCTGAGGAACCTTCCCTGGCTGTTTCCTTGATGCTTCCAAACAGCTGCGGCGACGTCGGCCTTGGCATGTCCGCCGCTCCGCTCCGAGTCTCGCCGGCCCCAATGCTGCTGCTCCTCCTCCACGCTGCCCGCCTGCCAGCCGCAATCTCAGCTCTGTTGATACCACCTGAAGCCACGCCACCCAGACCTCCACCAGCACCTGAAGAACCACCTGAACCAGTGTGGCCTGCTGCCAGCCCACCTGGAGGGCTGCTATCCTTGAGCCGGGAGCTTCGTGCCCTGTGTGGGGACACATGGCCGGGGGGGGGAGTGGGTCGACCCCCTAACTGAGGGGACGATGGCCTACCCATTCGCATCTGCACCCCTCCCTGTGCCCCTCCCCCTCCTGCTACTCCTCCTCCTCCTCCTTCTCCTCCTCCTGCTGCCATAGCTACTCCCGGTCCTTGCACCATCCCCCCACCTCCCTGTGCATCTCCCCCTGAGACAGGCTCCCCTACCTGCCATTGGTCAAATGAACCCTCCTGCCCACCACCCCCCTCCCCTCGACCAGCCGTGCGCTCCGGAGGGAAATGCACGCGACTGGTGCTAGCAGCACCGGCGCCGCTGCCCTGATGTTGCCCTACCCCGACCACCTCCCCCACACTCCTTTGCCTGGGTACCCCTGCCGCATGCCCAAGCCCTTGTGCATGCCCATGAGCATGGCCTGCCATTCCCCCGGGCCCACTGCCCGCACTCCCTCCCCCAGCAACCCCTCCCCCAGCAACCCCTCCCCCTGGTTCCCCAGCACTCCACTGCCGGGGTATCCCAGGGGGCCCTCCCAACCTCGACCCATGCCCTCCTGCTCCCCCCGCACCCACCCCCACCCCTCCTCCTGCCCCTGTACCGCTCTCCACCCATCCCCGGCTCCCCTGCTCTTTGAGCGATCCATTTCCCAGCATGCGCGTGTGTCGAATGTCCCGTCCGAGTCTTTGCTCGGGCACACTCGCATGCCCTGATAAGCTCCCAGCCTCTGCTGCTGAAGAACCAGCCGAAGCTGACGGAGGGCCTTCGAGAACCTGGGCTACAGGAAGGGAGGACAACGAGGGAGCTCCAGGTCCGGCCATGCCTCGCTCCGAACCTGATTTTTGGAACCTCCTCGGGCTGGAGACGCTGCTGGTTTCGTTACCCGAGCCATTGCTGAAACCACGGCCGCTGCCACCACCAGCAGCACCACCAGAAGCAGCAGCAGAACCAACACTGCTGCTGCTTCTGAAGCTGCCATCTCCTCCCGACCCTGGAGCCCCACCCACCCGCTCCGAACCTGATTTCACGAGCCTCCGCGGCAGGCTCTGATTGACGACCGCTCCAGAGCAATCCGTGAAACCGCCACCACCGATGCTCTCACTCTGTTGCTGCTGCTGCTGCTGCTGGGAAATGCGTGTGAGGGGGCTGCCAGGGCGAGGGGGGTTGGCACTGAATGTAGAAGCCAGAGGACCGCGGCTCAAGGGGCTGAGTAACGGCTGCTGGTGATGTGCGTGGGCGTGGGCTTTCAGGGGGCTGGCAGGGGGGTATTTGGCCAGGGGTGAGGCCAGAGGGATATCCCCATCCCCATCCGCGTCCTCCTCTTCCCCATCGTTCTGCCCGCCAATCTGCCCGTTATTCTGCCCGGATGCCACATCGCAGTTCAGCTTCCTGGCTGCTACTCCTCCTGCTGCTCCTGCTGCTGTTACAAGCCCGTTGGGAGAGTTTGACCCTGGTGTTGCATCGCTCCCTTGCTGCTGCTGGAGCATCTGCTCCTGCTGTGGCTGCTGCGGTTGCTGGGGCTGGGCGGAAACAAGAGGCGAGGCTAGAACCACACAGTCATCCTCATCCTCCTTATCATCGTCCTCGTTAACAGATACATTCAGTGGCATTCGTCCTGTGGCCGATGCCCCTGGCGCAGCCTTACACTCCACAATATCCCCGTCATCCTCGTCACAGTCATCCTCACTACTGTCCAAATCCGCAGTGTACTCCTCCTCTTCGTTATTATCGTCTCCGTTAGAAGCACCTTCCATACCTGGATCACCAATCGCCCCTCCAAGCTGAGGGAAGGTAAATGTCGAATCCTGATCTGCACTGGTGGCCTCTTTCCCCTCTTCACGCTTCTCACTCCCCTTGCTCCCAATCTCAATCAGTATCACATCTGACGTTTCCTTTCCGTTTTCGCCAACCCCCGCGCTTCCGCCACTGCCCCCGCCTCCTCCGCCTCCGCCTCCGCCTCCTCCTGCGCCTGTCACAGGGCCAGGGGGAGGCATCCCCCCGCGCCTGACAACAACAGGCGGGTCTCTCCCCCCTCCGCCACTCCTCCGCCTCACCAGCGGCCCATCCGCGCCCCCGTCCTCCTCCCCCCCTCTTCCCCCGTCCACAGACGCGCTCCTGAAAAATCCCCCGCGCCCCATCCCCCTCCCCGAACCCGCCCTTCCCCCAGCAAGCCCCCCTCCGCCCAAAGGCCCCAGCCGGCCCCCCCTCCCCATTCCGCCCTTAACCAATCCCGGCGGCGCCAGTCCCGTTACCCTGCTCCCCCCCGCGCCGGGCGCCGGGGCGCCTCCCCCCTGCGCCCCTGCAGCGCCAGGGTGTGGGGGAGAGCCGTGGGCTAAAGCGTTAGCAGTACTGCCACCTGTGCTACCGGAAATGCCGCCGCCGCCGCCGCCGCCGCCGCCGCTGCTGCTGAAGTCCATATGCGGGCTGAAACTGACGCTCTGCGCTCGAGCGTGTCTGTTAACCCTACGCCCCCCCGGGCTCCCTCCCACCGCGCCGCTGCTGCTGCCGGGAAACGCTGCGAACTGCGACGAAGGAGGCGGTTGCATGCGAGGGCTTACAGAGGGAACTCTACCGCTTCCGCCACCCCCGCCGCTCCCGCCGCTCGCGCTGCCAGGGCTCCCCGTCCCTGAAGGGAACCCGTGAGGTGGACTGTCCATACCAGTCCCGAAATCCGACGCGCCGGGGGCGAAAAACGACACAGACGACGCTCGCCGGTGTGCGGTTACCCTGTCTCTCGGTGTTACACCTGCCGGACCTCGCGCTGAGCTCGACGCGAGAAGCTTCCGCCTCAAGTCGTCCGCCGGACCTGCCTTCGCCGCCGCAGGGTGCGCTGGACCCGCCTCAACCCCCGTCCCCGTCACCGCACCTCCGCCAACTCCCCCGTCCGCTCCCCCTGCGCCGTCCCGCTTGGAAAACGGCACGCATGCGCCAGTGGCGGAAGGATCGTCCAGAGACCCACCCGCGGTGCTCTCTACAAGCTTCCGCAGATCCCTTTCGTGCACGGCGGAGGGCGGGCGGTTGGGCGCGGAGGCGGCGGAAGCGGCGGAGGCGGAGTGGGGGCTGTGGTGGGTGCTGTGGTAGGTGTACCAGGCGGCATGCGCTTTGGAGAGGAGGGAGAGCGTTCGGTCCGTGGGAACGGGCTTTTCGCGGTAGCCGATCGTGTTGGGTACGTCGTCTGAAAGCAAACGCAACGGGATGGGGAAGGAGGAAGACAAGAAATATTGAGTCGACTCAAAAATCGGTAGCCGTTCGTGTTGGGTACGCCGTCTGGGGACGAGATGAAATGCGCGGGGTGGGGAGGAAGGGAGAAAGGAGATATTGAGTCGACTCAAAAATCGGTCACCGATCGTGTTGGGTACGCCGTCTGAAAGGAGACGAAATGCGCGGGATGGGAAAGGAGGGAGGACGGACAAGAAGCGGAGGAGCGGGAGGGGGAAAAGGGAAGGGAGTGGGGAGGGGGAAAACCAGGAGAAGAGGGAAGGGAGACATTTGAAACAATACATTTTTTTTCGGATTATACAGCAAACAAAAAAAAAGGACAATCCTTAGGATTGTTATTGAGAACTTCAATGGCTTTATGGCTTCACGTGCTGGCGCGTCTCAAATTTCCCTGAGGTCCCTTCTCCTCATAAAATCGCTGATACCAGCAATAGGCCTTAATGTCATTAACAAAAAAAAATAAAAATAAAAAAACCGTCAGGAGAGCTTCTTTGACTGCTGTAATTCATTAACCTTTTTGTCTAGAAGATTCGGTGTGAACTTCAGAAAATGACGCATCATGGAGCATGAAATTGCCTTGCTACAATCAAGCAAAAACGACGAGATTGCGAAAAAAAAAAAAAAAAAAAAAAAAACCAGCAGACAGACCAGCAATTTCAACTCACATCTTGAAACACAGCCTGACGTTTTGAGCCACTCGCTGATCTCCGCGAGCTTCCCACCAGCGTGTCTCTGCAAGTCTTCTAGACACAATAACTTATCAGCGATCGGGTCCATAGAATTAATGCCGACTATCTTCAGGGTCGTCTTTAAATTAGGACTTATCACCAAAAACGCCGTCATTGGTTTCACGCGATACGCGTATCCCACGTCAGCAGGTGCCGATCCAATATCGATTATTTCTACCGGACCGTGCTGTTTCGACGGGTCCGGACCGCTTCCTTTATTCTCGTCGTCCTCGCTGAAGCATGAGCATGTTTGCGGGATAATTCCGAGGTTCCACTGTACATTCCTGATAGTGTGCGGGAGCACCGTTCGATTCGCGAAGCCTCAACGGCTGATAAAGCTCGGAAACGGCTACTTCTAGCTGTAGCCACGAGCCTTTAGGCGTAGTGCAGACCATCTCGATACAGTCACCAGCGGATAGTGCAGCGGGAACCGAGACATCGCTAGAATCAAACCGAAGCGGTAAGTCGTGCCAGGGGGAAACTGGATGGACTAGATTGGCATTACTGCTAGCTGACGTGGCACTCGCCGGGCTTGCTAGCAGAAACTTGCGGTATACTAACGATCCTTCAGGCCCAAATTCCATGCCGACGCCAATTTACTGGATTGCGAGTGAATAACGCAACGGCAACAAAGAACATAACAAGCAACAGCACTGGCTTGGGGAAACTTCTATTGTGACTAAACTGGGAACGTCCTACAACCACGCCCGCATAGGTATTACTAGTCAGCACTCTAGTGGATAACACAAAGCTGGTAGGCTTCAGGCCGAAAATTTCTAGCAAACTGTCTTTCTCAAAAGCACCACCTGCTCAATGCGATCAGTGACTCTCTTTGCGATCTAGCATGGTCGAATACACCTCTGAAACGGTTGAGTAGGATAGTGAGCAAAAGCTGAAGTGCAGGTCATTTGTCAGCGAACTGAGAGGGCGTTATCAGCTACGCTCAATGCGTTTTAAGACGGTCTATTTAAAAAACAGAGTGCTGGAAGAAGGTTCTGCTGGTAAAGGAACAATTGCGATGCACCACAAGCAGGAGTGTGCTGGAATGAAGGTATGGAAAATGTCATTCTTTCCGAACCTGCTGGTTCGGGTGCAATGTCCTGCCTGGGGCTCTGGGCCGTCGTAGTACTGCTGCTGGCGCGGATGAAAATGACGGAGGGAGGGAGGGGGAGGCTTGTCCTCCGTCCGTACGTACAGTGCGGCAGGGAAGGAAGCCCTGAGGGTGAATAATCTGGTACGGTCTGTTGGCTCTTGTGCAGGCATGGTGGTACAAATCGACGGTTGTCCTCGAGGTGAGAGGTTGAGCGCGAAGGTCGAGCTCCTGCTGAGCATTGCAGTGTGAAAAAGGCTCTCGAGTAACCTCAGACGTCCGATCTAGTCGCATTTCCGTTGGCCGTTAGATCAATCTATTGAACAACCTCCGCATATACATAAGCGACAACTATTCAGCATCAAGCCAGCCTGGCTGCCAGGTGTAGTTTGTCTGTCACCCGAGCAATGTTTTACTATAACGCACACTCGCTACCAAAAAAGGAATTTTTTAATACACGATTTCTGAAATCTTGATCCACTTGAAAACAAAATAACCCATCTCCAAGTGAAATAATACATTCTTGTGTAAGAGCAACAACTTTCCCAGCATTGGCTCCTTTCAGTCCACTGCCTCTGCTACTTCTGTTCTTGCGTGCAACGTTTATTTTGCTAAGGAGAATATATTTCCTTCTCCTATCCAAGAGTCTGATTCCACCAATGACTCTCCCAATCTGCCTGCACCAAGCATGCTCTTGCATACCAGGCACGAACCTTCCACAACATCCACTCTTAAGCAAGAGGGAAACCACTGTATCCACTCTGTAGCAACATACAAAATTGGATCCCTTGTATCCGCATTATGTGATTTGTAGGTGCTGGAGGTGCTGTTCATGGCTCCTGCTCTTGCCACCATTGCAACCCGTGCTCCTTCTCGTGGCACTCTTGCTTCTTCTACCGCTGCTGCTGCTGCTTCTGCCCTAGCTGCATATTCCACTACTGCTACCGCCAATCTATGGTCCAACCTGCCAGTGTGCTAAATACCCCCGACTTTGCCAATATGGTTACCGTCAACCTGCCCAGCAGTTCCGGATCGCATGTGCCCATGGACATGCTTCGCAGCATTCATCCCTTGGTGCACACGCATCCGCATTGTTGCTGCGCCTCCCCTCACACATCCCCCACCACTCAGCCCCACCCTCAACGATGTGCCACCCCATCCCTGTGCCGCTCCCTCCCTGTTTGCCTCCCCTACGCCTCCCTGGATATACCCTCCAGTTCGCTCCACTTCCCACCCTGGGTTGCCCCTTATTGTCCCTGCACAATTTGAGGCCGTGGGTTTTCTGTTAGGGGCATATGGTACTGCAGCCTCATTAATGGTGAAGTACTTTATCGTAGCCCCTTGATGTGTAGAAGTAACGATTGTAGCTCCGTGTACTGTAGATCCCCAACGAGGGAACTCTGGCACGCCAGCTTCAGCGATGGCGTGCGAATGAAGCGATCTGGAGGCGACATTCGCACAGCTAGCAGCATATCCAGTAACCACGGGTGATGAAATATTTGGTGGCTTATTGAGGGGCACCGATGCGAAAATCTTAGTTCTTCCTGGGTTGGCGGCGTCTACTGCTGCTGCTGACGTGGACAGACGAGCCGCCTTGGCTTCCGCTAAAGTCGACGCTGCCCTCGCTGCGCCTGATGCTCCGCCTGAATCCGCGCGCACTCCAGCAGCCCCCTGCTCGCCTGTTTCTGTCCTTTCCGCGCGCGCGGAACACAGCGCGAGAGACGGCGCGAGTGAGGGGGACATGGGCGGAGACGGAGACGCCTGGATTTTCCGCTGCAGCTGAAAAGTGTTGAGCGACGCGAACGAGTGCGATCGCCGGCGGAACGGAGCCAGCGGCGAGCGCGGCGCGTCGCCTTGCAGCGACGTGATTAGCGGAGGCGTCGTCACGTGCGACGCGGACGACTGTCGCCTGTGTCGCGACGAAAATGCGTGCGCAGCGGGGGAAGAAGATGGCGAA